CTACTTTTCTTTTTCTAGACTTCACAAAGACCTACACTTGTTTGTGTCCACTTGTATTTTTAGCCATCCCTTTTTTAGTGTCAACCTCTGGGCTTCCATTATATCCCATGCATATCTCTTTGCACTTATCCATGGCATCTAAATAATCTATTTTCTTTTTCAAAAATTATACCTATTTATTTTCTAGAATACACTTGTTCCATACACAATAATCTATTTTCAAATAGTTCTCCCACACAAGGCTGTGTGTTCCTTGAGAGTAGAGACCATCTGTATCAATTTCGTATCTTTGGCACTTATAATTTAGCAACTTCCTCTTTTTTTTTTTTTTTTTTTTGAGACAGAGTCTCACTTTTGTTGCCCAGGCTAGAGTGAGTGCCGTGGCGTCAGCCTAGCTCACAGCAACCTCAAACTCCTGGGCTCAAGCAATCCTTCTGCCTCAGCCTCCCGAGTAGCTGAGACTACAGGCATGCGCCACCATGCCCAGCTAATGGCTAATTTTTTGTATATATAGTTGGTCAATTAATTTCTTTCTATTTTCAGTAGAGATGGGGTCTCGATCAGGCTGGTTTTGAACTCCTGACCTTGAGCAATCCACCTGCCTCGGCCTCCCAGAGTGCTAGGATTACAGGTGTGAGCCACCGCGCCCGGCCCAATTCCTTTCTATGTTTGACAACTGTTGGTGCATTTCAATTCCTTTATTGAACCAACGACATTCAAAGCAATATAGTGAGTAGAGAAGGGACATGTGAGGGGACTAACCAGCTGACCAACAAGATGGATGGGAAAGAGACTCACAAACATTCCCTGGACAAGGTTGAAGAGCATGTCAGCAATTATTTTGCTGACACTAGGGATTGGGTGAGGCTTCCTCTCTGATATCTCAAAGGCCAGGTCAGCTGTATCTTGAAACCAAATGGCATTCTCAACTTTCCTAAGCACAAACAGGGGCAGCACCCAAAGAGCACTGAAAATGATGTGAGGAAGAATTCCAGCCATGACCAAACATCTCCGTGTAGTGATGGACCACTGATAATTCGAGCTGTTACTGACTGAAGCACAGGTATAAACACTCGATAAAATAAGAAGAGACTAAGCCAGAATATTCCACCATTCCAAGCACAACACTGGAATATTCTACTAACAATACGTGGCTCACTCTCTTCCTTCCGCTCTATACTCTGGGCTCTCCTCTGTACCAGGACCCTACTTGCCCTTTGTAGCTGCTCTTCTCTCTTTTGCTGGATTCGATCATCTAGCTTTGAGATGGTACAAATGCCCCCCACCCACATATGGAATCTTTGATTCCCCTGCTAAGGTCCTGGAGAAAGGTTTTTACACTGTCAGCCATCTCTTCACCACCCAAACTATCAACTACCCCAAAGAGAAAGAAGCACCCCAAAAGAGAGAAAGAAGCACCCCAAAATCTCTCCTCATGAAGGACTCGCAGCTCTCCTACGCGCCCAGAGCCCCCCTGGCCGGGCCACTGGGCATGCCCCTCCATGACCCCTGTTAAGTCAGAGAGAGAAAGATTTATGGCAGCTTCTCCTGCTCTCCTCAGTCAACTGTGGTTTGAAAACATTACAGTATTTTGGGAGAGGCCACATTCACGTAACTTTTCTTACATTATGTTGTTACAATTGTTCTATTTTATTAGTTATTGTTGTTGATCTCTTGCTGTCCCTAATTTGTAAATTAAACTTTATCCTAGGTGTGTATATACAGGAAAAGACATGGTGTATGTAGGGTTTGGTACTGTCTGTGGCTTCAGGTATCTACTGCGCATCTTGGAGGTTGCTGTGAACTAGACTGATGCCACGGCACTCACTCTAGCCTGGGCAACAAAGTGAGACTCTGTCTCAAAAAAAAAAAAAAAAAATTTTTTTTTTCCTCTGTGTAATCCTAGAACTCTGGCAGGCCAAGGCGGGAGGATTGTTTGAGCTCAGGAGTTGGAGACCAGCCTAAGCAAGAGCAATACCCCTGTCTCTACTAAAAAAATAGAAAGAAATTAGCTGCACAACTTAAAATATATAGAAAAAATTAGCCGGGCATGGTGGCGCATGCCTGTAGTCCCAGCTACTTGGGAGGCTGAGGCAGGATTGCTTGAGCCCAGGAGTTTGAGGTTGCTATGAGCTAGGCCGATGCCACTGCACTCTAGCCCAGTCAACAATGAGACTCTGTTTCCAAAAAAAAAAAGTGTCCTCTGTATTCAGTGAGTAAGTACTTACCGAGTTCTCTGGGTTTTTTCTTTTTTATCTTGAATCTCTTTTGTGTTTTACACCAGGCCACATGGACTGTGTACAGGAGGGCTGCCCAGGAGAAGGAAGAACTTTGAGTGCAGAGAGTGGGTGGAGCTCTAAGGAGGATGCCCCCCATCTTTCAGCAAATTGTGCCTGACTGTGAGCTTCATTTTACAACCATGATTATAAACGAAGTTGATCACATTGAATCTTTGAACCCTTTCTCTGAGGCCAGAAATCATAACCCCATCTTTACCAAAAGCCCACGGCCCTGAAACATGAAATGAGGTGAAAGCTCAAAACATGTCATTTCCTCCTTCCCCATCATCCTCAGTGCTTTCACTATCTTTCTGACTCCAGCTCCGGCCTCGCCAGTAACACATTAACTTGGCTTTCCGGTTTATCTATTCTCTTTTATTACCTCTCTGAGTCATGGTCTTCTCTCCTCTATAAATTCCTAAAACTGCCCCGCTACATATAACCTGCCTTACCTGCAACATTTTTTTTGTTCTGGAAAGCCTTGGAATTCTGTTAATACCTATCACTGTAGGTGCTGAGGGGAGACAGATGAAGAACATGACCTTGAGAAGCTCCCTGCCAATGAGAGGAAAAAGCTGACACCTGGCAGAGGTAAATTCCACCATAACAAAATAAGCAAAAGGGTGGATTAGCCAGTTTGCAAATTCAGCTTAAAAATGAGTGGATCTGCCTGGGCCCTCCTCAGACCCTGGTGTTGGGACTATAGGGTTGCTGGAACCTCCATCAAGGTTAATACCAAATCCCACTGGCTTATTTCAGATCTATCTTGATGACCCTGGCTTAGTTTCTCTGTGCGCCATAGCTGGAACTTCTAGGCCTTCTCACAAACATATGAGGATTTTTGATTCAAAGCTCAGGGGATGAAGGCAAAGCTATTTGTTCACTGAGCAGGCTAAACTCATGATTAGGAGAAAAGGATTTAGGAGTCTGGGGTAGGAAGAGTTTACTATTAATATTTAAAACAGAATCATAGTAATAATCATTGTGGGAAAACTCAGGATGGTGTTGGAGTATCCTATACTTACAATGTTGCTTTTATTTTGGATACTTGAAGGAGGTGAAGGCCATCATCTTTTCAGTGCTTGAGATATTTAAGTGTCTTCATGTATTCCTGGGCTCTTGTATAAATTTGACTCCAGGCTCATCTGGCTTTGCCTTTGGTCCTCAGTAGGGGTAAAAGGAACCCTGATGGAGAGCCTCTTACCCCAGGTCTGAGTTTCTGCCTTGAAATGTGTCTGGGATCTCAGGCACTCTGGGACTGGGTCCTTCCTCCCTCTTGCCAGTCTCCCATCTCCTCTACAGGGCCAGCATGGAATTAAGGTGTGGAGTCTGTTGACCATCTTTCCAAATACCTGATCTCTCTGTAGGTTGCCTAGTCCGTGATCTTCCTGTGCCCTTCCTTCTCCAGGCATTCTGTTCCCTCTCCTGCACCTCCCTGGAGTCAGCTGCAGCTCATCCCTGGTTGTGTTCTCTCTGGGGTGCTGATGTGACAACTTACAAGTGGGTCTCTTCCCAGAGCACAGAGAAGAAGGGCAATTCTGAAACCTTTCCCTCACCCCATCATAAGCATCAACAACTTATGCTTGGTCTAGAGGTCAGGAAGGCTTTTATATATTTTAGTTTTAGTGTGCTTTATTTGCAATAACATTGCTCCTTACTCTTTGTGTTCTTTTGTTTTTTTTTTTTTTTGTGGCAGGGTCTCACTCTGTTGCCTGGGCTAGAGTGCAGTAGCATCATCATAGCTCACTGCAGCCTCCAACTCCTGGGCTCAAGTGATCTTTCTGCTTCAGCCTCCTGAGTAGCTGGGACTGCAGGTGCATGCCACCACTGCTGGCTGATTTTTCTATTTTTTGTAGAGACAGGTTCTTGCTCTTGCTCAGGCTGGTCTCCAACTCTTGGCCCCAAGTGATCCTCCCACCTCAGCCTCTCAAAGTGCTAGGATTACAGTCATGAGCTACCACGCCCGGTCTTAGGTATGCTATTTGTAAAAACACTCCTTGAGTTATTCTGTCAGTAAAGTAGCTTTTTGTGGGCTGACACTGGAACCTATTTAACAATAGTCTTCATCAAGGGGCCACAAATGACAGGCTGCATATGCATGTCCTTCACAGGTATAATCCTTAATCTTCACAAGAATCCTATGGAACAGGTATTAGCATTAGTCTCTACTATGCAAAGGAAGTCACTGAAACACAGATTGATTAGTCACACAGCTAGAACGTGGCAGATACACAATTTAGGCCTAGTTTTGTCCTGCCAAAGCCCACGCTCACCTTTAAGTACGATGCACTTGGTGTTACTAAAGCACAGACTATCTCAAGAAAATATAGCCACAATTTGTTAATGTTATATTAACATATATTTAATAATAAGAGTAGATATCTGTTTTGGTTACCTTGGAAATCTAATATTCAAAATGGGCGGGGCGCGGTGGCTCACTCCTATAATCCTAGCACTCTGGGAGGCTGAGGCGGGCGGATTGCTCAAGGTCAGGAGTTTGAAACCAGCCTGAGCAAGAGTGAGACTCTACTAAAGCTAGAAAGAAATTAACTGGACTAAAAATATATATATATAAAATTAGCCGGGCATGGTGGCACATGCCTGTAGTCCCAGCTACTCGGGAGGCTGAGGCAGTAGGATTGCTTAAGCCCAGGAGATTGAGGTTGCTGTGAGCTAGGCTGATGCCACAGCACTCACTCTAGCCTGAGCAACAAAGCGAGACTCTGTCTCAAAATAAAAAAAAAAATTCAAAATGATTTCTCTTTGTTGGGAGACTCCAACGCAGTTTTTATGGGAAAGAAGGTGGGATTGGAGGAGGTCATCAAAAAAAAAAAGTCAGTTATGAAGAAACTGGAGAGGTTTTTCTAGAGCTGGATATTGGAGCAAGTGTTCATGCTTTAATCATTCCTGTCCCAGGGGTTTGACAGCTCAACAGTTGGAGATTCACTGAGAATCCGCATATTGGAAGGGGGCAGAAAACAGAGCGACCTGAGCAGGGCCCATCAAAGTGGAGGCGCTGAGTCCCTGTGTGTCTCCCTTGCCTTTGCCGCAGTCTTCACAGTCAGAAATGGGCAGAGAGGATCAGAAATGGGTAGAGAGGATCAGAAATGGGCGGAAAGGACCAGAAAAGGCCTAAATTCCCTACACTGAGAGTATTGGGTGTGTGCGCGTGTTTGTGTGCGTCAACAATTCACGTATGAAGAAGGCAACTCTGACCTCCCTTACAACATTATGGACTTCAGATGAAGCCCACCCTTCCCGACCCCGTGATGCCGGACGTGGGACTCCTGCAAACCACGTTTCTGCTTTGACGGCGGCCCCCTAATAGGCTCTGCCGGCAGGGGGCGCTGGAGGGAGCCCGCCAGGCTGGAGGAGGGACTTCCTGTTTGCTTGCCATGTACTTCCTGCTTCTGGGAGCATCCCCATGTCAACGCCTGTTTACCACGCAGTGGCCGTTCCCATGTGTAGCTGCACTAAATCCACTTCACAATAACTGCGTTCAGAGCTGTCAGCTGCCTCTTGAGAGGTCTAGATCTCAGCGTGAGGGCCCTCCTCTGAGCGCAGAGACCCCAGCATTAGAGGAGCGGGGCCTCTACCCCAATTTTAAATTTAATAACTTTCATTTCCTCCCTTTATTCCTTCAGTCTAGGGATGGTAGCTATTTACATTGCTGCGGCTCTATTATTTAGCGCCCCTCCCATCCCGTAATTTACTTAACTTTATAGCGAGTTAAGTTCTTTATATTAAATTTACCCTGATCGGATATTTGGTCAAGAATGCTGTGTTTTTGGAGGGGTTGTTGGGGGTAGGGTAGAGAGAGGCTAAAATAATGTCAGCAGCTTTGAAAAAGGTATTTTCCACACTGATTTGCCAAAACCACCCCATGGGGCTCTCACTGAAGTCCAATAGCCCATAGTGTAATCCATTCTTTAGACTGCCAACAAGCCTAGACTCACAGACATTAGAGAGGGAGGGAGATCTACCGTCTGGAACCCTGTGGGTAATTCTACAACCTACAGTTTATTAAAGACTTAAATACAACAAAACAAAACAAAACAGTTTATTAAAGACTTAAATACAGGCAAATGGTTTTTATTATTGTTATTATTATTATTTTTGAGCAGTTGCCTTTGAAGAATAAACTCTGGTTTTCATTGTTTCTTTTTTTCCCCATAAAAACAAAAGAACAAAAAAGTCCTTGAAGGATATTTTTAGTGTTTCTCTCTTGTAATATTCAGTGAATGTGAGGAGTGACACTTGGATTTCCAAACAAAAGAGGGGAGGGGCATACCTGCCTCTTTCTATTGTTCCTTGTTGAGGGAGGAAAAAAGGCTTTTAAGTCCTTGTGTGAACATTGACAGGGTTTTTTTTTTATGAAATAGTTTTGTGGCAGGAGAGCTCAGGTACAAGCTGGGCTGTTCTAGTTGAAATACCTGCTTGCCTTCTCGAATATTGGCAGCATTTTTCCTACCTCACTCATCTTCTTGAATGACTCGAGCTAGAGACTGTGCCCCTGAATGGTTTATCTGAGCTTGCTTTCTTATCTGAAAGTAGGAAGCCAAAAGGTGACTGATAGAGCCACCTGCTGCTCTATACCTTGCAGAGATTAAAGAGGAACCTGAGACAGTTTCTTGGACGGCTTGTGAATATCAGAAAATATATTTTGGAGGGTTAGAAGACTGAGGGATATGGTTGGTCACATTTGCTGCCATGGAATAATTCAACCAGTCTTCACTTGGAAAGAGAATCACACCCTGGCAAGAGATCTTCACTAAGCACGAAAAAAGCTATTAAAGGTGAGAATTTTCTTAATTTTCCATTTTACTTCCTCTTAGGTTTTCATAAAAGTTAATTACTAATGAGGATGTAATGTTATGCTTAGAAAGAGATGCAACAAGAGAAAATAATCACTGCTTGAAGGATATGTCACATTTTTTCTCCTTTTTGGGATTGTTTTCCATCATATCTGGTTTACTTTGGTGGTACTCAGTACCCTGCATTGTATTTAAAAGGTTGGTTTAGTTGAAGAAGCAGGAGGCTTGCAGACAAAAACCCTGGGGGAAAGGGAAGTGGAGAGGAGTCCTGGGTTTGCCTCTTGTAATGTGTGTTATTTGGCAAGTTTTTTAGCTTCTGCTTTCCTATCCATAAAGGAGGCCTAATAACACTAAGTTTCAGATTGGTTATGAAGATTAAAAGGGACAATGTAAAGAAATATTTCTGGCCCATAAAAGGCACACATTAAATATTGTATATGCACAGCTATATGTGTCTGTGTGTGTAGATATATTTTAAAGTTGGATGGACTATCTGAATGATTACAATGCGTTTTTTGGATAATATCAAATTGTACTTCTTTAAGAACATTACTAGATACCACACCTGACCAATGGCTTATATGTGGTGAAAAGCATCCTAACACTATATAAATTGCCAAATAGGAGCAAGAAAAGTGGTTTTGTTTTTAAAAGAACATTTAGATTTCAAGAAGTGATGCTCAGAGTCTGAATTGCATGGGTTTTCTCCTTAGATCTACCAGAAACTCTAGACCCCAGATAAGAGCTATTCTAGGGTCATATGGATGAGAGGAAAAATGAGGAATGAAGAGTGGGAACTTCCTCTTACTAATTACACTTGTACACAAGCAGGTGCTAAGTTCTTCCTTTTTTCCTTTTCTTCTTTTTTTTTTTTTGACACAGAGTCTCACTCTGTTGCCCCAGCTAGCGTACAGTGGCATCATCATAGCTCACTGCAGCAACCAACACCTGGGCTCAAGTGATCCTCCTGCCTCAGCCTCCTGAGTAGTTGAGTCTACAGGCATGAACCACAATGCCTGGCTTATTTTTCTATTTTTAGTAGAGACGGGGTCTCCCTCTTGCTTAGGCTGGTCCTCCCACCTCGGCCTCCCAGAGTGCTGTGATTATAGGTGTGAGTTACCACACCAGGCCAATTCTTCCTTTTTTCCTCTCTGGTGTGGAGATGGGGCGAGATCCTGATGCCAGTGTGGTCAGCTAGTTTGTTGGGTCAGGGTATAGATTGCTCTCAGCAAGCCAGGTGGAAGAGGCCCCTAGGCATGTCTTTACTGAGGATATTTGTCCAGAGGAGAAATATATTTTTGCCGTCAGTTTGGAGTTGAACTTGATGTTCCTGGGAATGATTAGTTTGTAATCAGAGGCATTTTGTTCTGTTCAAGGATTCTTTGCTCCTCCTTCCCTGTGCCCAACCTCTACCGGCTTCCCATTCCGTGACGATGGCTCAGTGGAGGAGAGTCTGCCGGCAGCATTACCTGTGGGCCCTGGGCTGCTATATGCTGCTGGCCATTGTTGCTCTGAAACTTTCTCTCAGATTAAAATGTGACCACCTGGACTTGCAGTCCAGGGAGTTTCAAAGCCAGCACTGTAGGGATATCTTGTACAAGTCCCTGAAACTGCCAGCAAGGAGATCCATCAACTGCTCCAGGATCGCCCGAGGGGACCAGGAAGCAGTGCTTCAGGCTCTTCTGAATAACCTGGAGGTCAAGAACAAGCGGGAACCCTTCACAGATGCAGACTACCTCCAGGCGACCAGACACTGTGAGCGCTTTAAGGCCAAAAGGAAGTTCATACAGTTCCCACTGAGCAAAGAAGAGTTGGACTTCCCTCTTGCGTACTCAATGGTGGTTCATGAGAAGATCGAAAACTTTGAAAGGTTGCTTCGAGCTGTGTACGCCCCTCAGAACATATACTGCGTCCATGTGGATGAGAAGTCCCCAGACACTTTCAAAGAGGCAGTCAGGGCGATTACTTCATGCTTCCCAAACGTCTTCATTGCCAGTAAACTGGTTCCGGTGGTTTATGCCTCCTGGTCCCGGGTGCAGGCTGACCTGAACTGCATGGAGGACTTGCTCCAGAGCTCAGTGCCATGGAAATACTTCCTGAATACGTGTGGGACAGACTTTCCTATAAAGACCAACGCTGAGATGGTCCAGGCCCTCAAGATGTTGAATGGAAGGAACAGTATGGAATCGGAGATCCCTACTGAGTACAAAGCACTGCGCTGGAAACATCACTATGAGGTGAGAGACACATTGTACATAACCAGCAAGATGAAGGACCCTCCCCCTAATAATTTAACCATGTTCACGGGGAATGCCTATATGGTGGCTTCCCGAGACTTTGTCCAACATGTCTTAAAGAACCCCAAATCCCAACAACTGATTGAATGGGTAAAAGACACCTATAGCCCCGATGAACACCTCTGGGCCACCCTTCAGCGTGCACGATGGATGCCTGGCTCTGTTCCCTACCACTCCAAGTATGACATCTCAGACATGACTTCCATTGCCAGGCTGGTTAAGTGGGAGGAGCATGAGGGAGACGTCAATAAGGGGGCACCATATGCACCTTGCTCTGGAATCCACCAGCGGGCTATCTGTATTTATGGAGCTGGGGACCTGCACTGGATGCTTCAGAACCATCACCTGTTGGCCAACAAATTTGACCCAAAGGTAGACGATAATGTTCTTCAGTGCTTAGAAGAGTACCTACGTTACAAGGCCATCTACGGGACCGAACTCTGAGATGCACTGTGAGAGAATTGCTACTTGTGGGGCAAGAGACTGTGCAGACATGCCCAGAACTTCCTGGGACACTGTGGGCTGGGAGACCAGGGCTTTGGAATCCTTGACATCCCCTGGGATGAGGGGGCTGCTATTGGCGTGTAAGTAGATCTGGTGCTGCGGGTGATGCCGGCTGTGCTCACCCCCCTCCCCTAGTCCCAGGAGCTCCTGCACTGTCTTTCTCACCGAGAATGGGAGCTGCTATTATCTGGGACAGGAAGGGAGGGATGTGTGGCAGAGGACCCCGGGTTTCAGATGAATGCCTGGTGGCAGCTTTTCTGCTCTGTGGGGAGGCTGTTCCTAATAATTCTAGGCTTGGTAGTGCGGAGGGGGACTTTGATGGAAAGAGAGCCTTCCCTTTTGTTCTTTTAACCAAAAAAATAAATAGCTCCTGATTCAAAGTCCTACCTCGACTTTTCGCCTAATACCCCAGAAATAATATAAACAGATAAAATATGTGAGATTTTTTTCCTCACAACTCTATGTGACATTTAAGATCCCTAATGACTGTCAAGAGAGTCCTCATTATTCTGAAATGGCCCAGGCAACCTGTATGAATAGCAAATTCAAAAGCACATAGAAGAACAGAGTTGGTTCTTCCATTATTGAAAGCCCTCCTCCTTTTGTTTATGAGGTTCATGACTTCTGTGAGGGAAAAGGCAGGTGTTTTAGCCAGTTTGACCACCCATATCCTTATGGGAAAATTATGGCACTAATTTTGTCAGCTTCACAGCCAAAGCTTAACTAACGTTCCATAATAGAGATAATTATGGATAATTAGGTAAGGTTGTGTATAATTTATTGCCCAAAGTGGAACACATTTTAGTAGGGGAAAGGGCTGCACTATTAATAATCATGTCAAGAAACAAAAATGAACTAGGACTGTCTAGCTAGGCCGGGATGTCTGGTTATTCCATGTTTAGGCCTCTTGGGTCAAAATTCTCTTATTTTCGTATGTGAATGGAAGGATCATTATTTGTGAGTTGCAGATTATACATTTCCTTGTGGGGAGACAATTATGTGCATAAATATATATATATATACCTATGTATAGCATGTGTGTTTATATACATATATACACACACACACACACATACACTCCCCACCTCTCAGATGTTACCTGGGGAAACAGTTTCCTTTCTGAAGCTCTAGAGAGAGCTGTTGGCTATTGGTTGTACTCTGTGATGGGACAAGGGATACTATGAGAACATAGGCAGCAGCCTTTGAATATAGCACAGCGGATCTGCGTACAGGGTGCTCTGGAAAAGCAATTTACATGCGAGTTGATTTGTGTGATTTGAATGCTGTTTCCATTAACATGTCATAATGTCATTAATATGTTTCTTCATTTCGGATTGGGATTCAATTAATCAAGTTTTCTTTCAAGATCAACTTTCTCCATGCAACCCCTGTAACTCTGACACAGTGACTTTTTTAATCTATAAGCTCGTGATTCTTTTTTGTAAGGCTGTCTTCCTCTGGTCATGGGCACTGCCACCACCAACTTGCCTGCACTGCCATATTGAGCTCTCTTCACCTTGCTGCCAGCTCCACCACGGAGACGACGGAGACGACATATGGCCTAGCCATATGTGCAGTGGATGTGCCCGGTGCCCTGTAAGGGTCTGTCGCCGCCAGTAGTGATCATGGATCCTCCCCCTAGTGGCCGATGTGATGACTGTCCTCAGTCCTCCTCTGAGGGAGACAGAAGGGACTGCACTACCACTGTGGGAAGGATGCAGAAAAGCCTCCCTGAGTGCATGTGTCCTGAGAAAAGAACCCAGGTCTTTGTCCTCATATTTAACTTATTCTAAGAGCTTTCATGTGAAACAAATTATAATTTTTCATATAAATAAATGAAAAAGATTAAAGTGTGAACTTGTCATTTTTGGGGGAACCAGTTGCCGACATTTTCCAAGCATCGAAATTTTCTTGAGAAATATATTCAGGTGAACAGGAAATGCTCTTTATTTAATAATATAAGGTCTTCATATCAGAAGGGTCAAATTTCTCCCTCATCTGTGTAGTGTATTTTAGAAATACACTACAATTAAACCAACACATCCATTGATTTTTTTTTTTCCTTCCCTCTGAGTCATATCTGTTTCTTTAACCTTTCTCTGGCAAGGAAAAATCTTATAAGTGAATTGAGCAACTATGTTTGTATTACCTCTCAAGGTGTGAATTTCCTCCTTATTTTTAATTTGTGGACTGTTGGTGAGCATTGTTTTAAGAACTATTTTTTTTTGTTGTACACTCTGTTTATTGTAATTTTTAAAAGGTGCATATAAATTTTATTTACATAGGATAGTTACAAATACATAAAATCTTTATTTTCAATAGCATAACTTCTGTTCCTGCCTAGAATACACATACACTTTCCTGGGTGATCCAGTGGCCTTTGCAGAGAAGTTTCCGAGGCAGAGGCCTCTGCAGTGTCACCCTTGCAGTTATTTATAGGGCTCTGGCACATGGTGGAAGCTGACTAATGGTGGCATACCAAGTGACACTGAACGCTGCTGCTGGCCCCTAAATCATCCTCCCCAAGTCCATGCTCTGTGGGCCCTTCTCCTCCCTTCCTGGCCTGGGCCACAGGAGATGGGACGCTTCCTTTTGGTTTTGGGCAGACATGGCCAGGGGGTCCCCCTCGATCCCTGTTTGAGCGAAGGAGAAGGGAAGCCATGCTTGCCATGAGCCAGGCCCTGTGCTAGGGGACTTACCTTAAACCCTTTGAACTGATCTCGAGGGAGGCAATTGTCATCCCTGGCTCGAACAGGAAGAAAACGAGACACAGAAGTTATATTCCTTCTCTACGAGCTAGACCCCTGGTACCTGGCTATTGGATGCCTGATATGCCTGACTCAAGGGCCCTGCCTTGTCCCCAGCACTTTTCACTGCTGTTCAGTGAATGCCACTTGCTTTCTTTAAAAGCTTCACATTCAGCAGGCAGCGTGATCTGAGCGCAGGGAGGAAGCAGGAAGCGCTCCCAGGCCCAGGGCCAGAGCAGCGGTGAGCAGAGTCTCCCAGGCTGGCAGGAGGGATCCAGGGGACAGCTCAGGAAAGGCTGACCCCTGCCTGGCATGTACAACATGTCTGGGTGCTGGCCCCGCCACCGCCTCTTGGACAGGTCACTTCATCTCTCTGAGCCTCAGTTTCCTCGTCAGTGAGGTGAGAATCTCATCTTCCCATGAAGGAAGCTCCTGGGCAATCTAATGCTTCTCTGGAGGGACTAGAGCCAGTCACGGGACCCAAACCCAACATTGCAGCTTGATCCTTCCGGCAGGCGCCACCTACTGACCTCGTTGGAATTGTGTTCTCTTGATTGAGTGAAACTTTTTTAAGAAAGGAAGAAAAGACAATTGATAACCTCATTTAGGAACATGTGACATAATTTATTTGGGAAGGTCAAGTATTTTAACTAAAAATGGAAAGAATGATTAAATACCTTACTTACTTGCCTGCTTTAAGTATCTTTTTTTTTTTGTGAGACAGGATCTCTGTTGCCCAGGCTAGAGTAACGTGGCATCAGCCTAGCTCACAGCAACCTCAAACTCCTGGGCTCAAGTGATCCTCCTGCCTCAGCCTCCCGAGTAGCTGGAATTACAGGCATGCACCACCATGCCCGGCTAATTTTTTCTATATATTTTTAGTTGTCCAATTAATTTCTTTCTATTTTTGGTAGAGACGGGGTCTTGCTCTTGTTCAGGCTGGTTTCCAACTCCTGACCTTGAGCAATCCACCTGCCTCAGCCTCCCAGAGTACTAGGATTACAGGCGTGAGCCACCACGCCCAGCCCTGCTTTAAGTATCTTAATTGACCCAAAGATCTGGTCTTACTTCTTGCATTTAGTCTGTCATTTATTTGTTTCTGAGATGAATAAGATGTGCTTCATGACTCTATGAAACCTGAGTGTACTGCCAGGCAATGAAATAAATTATTCATTGATTCCACACATACTTTTTATTTATTTTAAAAAATTAAAAAAAAATTTTTTTTTCTTTTGAGACAGGGTCTTCCTCTGTCACTCAGGCTGGCATCGTCACAGCTTACTGAAACCTCAAACTTCAGGGCTCAAGCGATCCTCCTGCCTCAGCCTCCCAAGGTGCTAGGATTACAGGTGTGAGCCACCAGGCCCAGCCTTAATTCCACACATGTTAATTACGGAATTGACCAGGCATTGTTCTCAACACTGGGGATACAGCAGTCAACAAAACAGACAAAAATCCCCACAGCCATGTTGTTCACATACCAGTGGGAAACAGACTATAAATAAATTAGGAATTTTTAGAAGGAGACAAGTGCTAGAGAGAGATCACAGGAAGTGATAGAGACCTTGGGAAGGTGAGGTGGGGAGGGAAGATGCTTTAAATTTTAAATGGGATGATAAGGGAAACAATCAATGAAAAGGCAATGTTTGAGAGAAGATCTGCAGGAGATAAGGACATGATCCATGAGGATTAATCTGGGAAGAGCATTCTAGGCCAAATGGAAAGACTTGCAAGGCCCTAAAGCAGAAACATAGCTGCCGTGTTTCTGGAACAGCAAGGAAGCTAGTGTAAATGGAACAGAGTAAAGGGGGGGAAGAAGCAGCATGAAGAGGGGCGTACAGATGAGACCATAGGACTTTGGACGCCATTACATGGACTTTGTCTTCTCCCGAGTGAAATAGGAGGCCACTGGGGGCTTTTGAGCAGAAGACTGAAATGGTCTGACGTTTTAACAGGATGACTGGTTGCTGCAGTGATAACAGACTAGTTGGGAGGTGAGTGTGGAAGCAGAGAGGCCTGTTGGGAGGCCATGGCAATAATCCAGACACTATTCAATAGTGGCTTGGACCAGGGCAGTAGTAGTAGTAGAAATGGTGACAGTGGTCAGATTCTGGAAATTCTTATGAAGGGTTAGTTTGAGGATTTGCTGATAGATTTTGTTTGTGAGAAAGATGGAGGAGTCAAGAATGACTCTAAAGATTTTGTCCTGTTAGAATGATGGAGTTGCCATTAACCAAGATGGGAAGCCCATGAAAGTGTGGTTTTTTAGGGGGAGATCAGGAGTTTGATTCTGAACATATAAAATTGGAGATGCCTATGCAACATCCAAGTAGAGCTAGATGTGTACAGAAGTCTGAATTCAGGAGAGAGGCCTGGGCAGGAGACACTTAGCTGGTGTTTATCAGCTATGGATGATGTGAAGTCATGAAACTGGATGAGAACCTTAAAGAAGTGTAGGTAGTACAGAGGCCCCCAAATGAGTTGTGGGGCTCTCCAAAATGCAGAGGGCAGGGAGATCAGGAGGAACGAACAAAAGAAAGTTGGAAAGGGGCTGCTCGTGTGGTAGAAGGAAAACTGGGTGGGTATGGTGGTATTCTGGAAGCCAGCAGGAGAAAGTGTTGACGACTGCACCAACAGCTGCTGAGAATCACCTATGATGAGGATGAAGAAGTGGCTGTTGCATTTAACAATGTGGAGGTGACCTTGATAATATCAGTTTTTGTGGAACATGGAGGTGAGAACCTGATTGCAGGTGGTTCAAAGAGAATGTTAGATAAAAACTGGATTTAGCAAGTATAGATAAATCTTTCGAGGAGGTTTACTTAAGCCAAGAGAAGGAGGAAAAAAACAGTACAGTAACTGGTTAAGAGAAGGTTGTCTAAAAAGTTAAAGAAGTGATAACATGTTTGTATTTTTTTTTTTTTTTTTTTTGAGACAGGATCTCCATCTGTTGCCTGGGCTAGAGTACAGTGGTATCATCATAGCTCACTGCGACCTCCAACTCCTGGGCTCAGGCTATCCTCCTGCCTCAGCCTCCTGAGTAGGAGGGACTACAGGTGCACACCACCATGCCCAGCTAATTTTTTTCTGTCTTTTGTAGAGATGGGGCCTTGCTCTTGCTCAGGCTGGTCTTGAACTCCTGGCCTCAAACGATCCTCCTGTCTCGGCCTCCTAGAGTGCTAGGATTACAGGTGTGAGCCACCATTCCGGCCTTCTCTTTCTCTTTTTTAATTAACATCTTATCTGAGGTATAATATACTTATGGAAAAGTACAAAAACCCTAAATATATAGCTTAACAATTTTTACCAAGTGAACACACCTATGTAACTAGAATGCTGATTAAGTACCCCCTTTTCCACCCCTCACCTCCACTTTCATTTTTTTTGGAAAATATAGCAGGTTGAATTCAACCCACCATGTCCTAACTTCTAACTCACAGAATTATTTTGCCTATTTTAATTTAATTTAATTAATTTATTTACTTTTGAGACCAAAGTCTTGCTCTGTGCCTGGGCTAGAGTGCCATGGCGTCAGCCTAGCTCACAGCAACCTCAAACTCCTGGGCTCAAGTGATCCTCCTGCTTCAGCCTCCCAAGTAGCTGGGACTACAGGCAGGTGCCATCATGGCCGGTTAACTTTTTTTCCCCTGTTTTTAGTTGCCTGGCTAATTTCTTTCTATTTTTAGTGGAGACGAGGTCTCGTTCTTGCTGAGGCTGGTCTTGAACTCCTGACCTCAAGTGATCCTGCTACCTCGGCCTCCCAGAGTGCTAGGATTACAGGCATGAGCCACCATGCCTGGCCTTATTTTGCCTGTTTTTGAATTTCATATAAATACTATATTCTCTTTTGTAAATGGCTCATTAAATCCAACATTATGTTTTAAGATTCATTTATGTTGTTGTAGCAGGTTAATGATTCTCACTGCTGTGTAATAATAGTCCATATATGAATATGCCATAGTTGATTCATTCTGTTGTTGATGAATGTTTGGGTTATTTCCAACTTCTGTCTATTATAATTTGTGCTCCTATGAACCTTCTTTTTTTT